ATTCTCCTGGAAAAACTGGATGGGTCTGTTCTTTGCTGGGTAAAAATCTGGCTGTATGGATGATCCCAAAGTATGGTGGTGAATCGAGTTAAATCCAGTTGGTGGCTGGTCCCAAGTGTTGTTTCTTAGGGCTCAGAACTGGGGCTAGGTCTCATAAATTTTACCAGTGATCTTGACAAGGGGATTGAGTGTTTGCATATGACAGCAATTTGGGTTGGAGTGTTGGTCTGCAGAGGGATCTGGACAGGCTGGATCAATGGACTGTGGCCAGTGGTATGAAGTTCAACAAGGCTCAGTGCCACGTCCTGAACTTGGGCCGCAACAACCCCATACAATGCTCCAGGCTTCGGGAAGAGTGGCTGTAAAGCTGCGTGGTGGAAAAGGACCTGGGGGAGCTGAACATGAACTAGCTTGTGCCCAGCCAGCTAAGAAGGCCAACAGCATCCTGGTTTGTATCAGCAGTAGTGTGGCCAGGAGGGCCAGGGCAGTGACCATGCCCCTGTCCTCAGCACTGGTGAGTTTATATCTCAAATAGTGTGTTCAATTTTGGGCACTGAGGTGCTGGAGCATATCCAGAGAAGAACAACAAAGCTGATGAAGGGTCTGGAGAACAAGTCTTGTGAGGACTGGCTGAGGCAACTGGAGTTTTAACATGGAGAAAAGGAGGCTTAGGGGAGACCTAATAGCTCTCTACAACTACCTGAAAGGAGGGTTTTGGTCTCTTCTCCCTAGTGATAGGAAAAGGTGAAATGGCCTGAAGTTGCAGTAGGATTGGTTTAGATTGGTTATTAGGGAAAATGTCTTCACTGAAAGAGTTGTCAAGCATTCAAACAGGCTTCCCAAGGAAGTGGTTGAGTCATCTTTGGGGGTATTTAAAAGATGTGTAGATATAACACTTAGGCATCTGGTGTAGTAGTGGACTTGGCAGTGCTAAGTTAATGGTTGGACTCAATGATCTTTAACATCTTTTCCAAACAAAATGATTCTCTGATTCCATGTTTCTATGTGAGATGTCCTTTCCCTGTGATCGTCTCATAGTTGAGATTAGTGTGAGCATTCCTTCACTTACATGTTGGTTCTAGCATGCATTTCCAAAGAGAATGTAATTGCTTCTGTCTTTCTCCTTACCCTTCAAAAGCTGCTGCATAGCAATGGTTATATCTGAAAGGATGCTGAGAAGAAAAAACAGCTCAAATGAGGGTAATAGTTTGTATCTCCTAATCTGTGTTTTTATGGTGCAGAGATTTTGTTCATAGCATTTTCCTATGCACTTTGAAGATGCAATAAAAACTTGCAAATGTTTTTATTATATTCATTGGTGTGTAGAGAGGAGTGGGTGACCAAGCACAACTTTCTGTCTATGTTTCTCCCGCTTCTTTCACTATCTCTTAATTAGTTTTTTTACTCTTCTTTATTATTTCAGTTGTTACAGTCAGCCGGAGGGGCTTTTTGATCCTGGTTGTAGAACAGATGTCTTGTTTGCCAGATTAATATTGAAATGAATCCATGAGATAATCACAGGAAAAATTAAACACTGAAAAAAGATTGTATGTGGTAATGTATACATACAGAAATCATGTTTATAAAAATTGAATACATCCCACTGTTGGCCTGTTTGTAAAGTGAAAGGGATAATATTGTGTCACTATTCCAAGTGTTCTAGTAAAAGGAAATGAATAAAAAGTAATTTTGTTTAGAGCCTATTTTATTCTTATCTGCTTCACTTTTTACTAGTATACTGAAGGCTACATTTTTCTTTGTGTCTTTGTGAAAAGAATGGGTCAGCTTCTTCTAAACTTCTAAACGTGCAGTTTTTCAGATATTTGATTGCTGCTTATGAAGTGCCTCATTTTATCTCCACATTGCATTAAAAACTTGTTCAAAGTTAAAAAAAGTCTTGATGGTAATTTGCAGTAAGTTTGGGTAATCTACAGTATTAGTGAGGATTTGAATAGTGGTCTTCTTTATGAACTACAGTATTTCTCTGAAGAAATACAAGGTAAGTCTCATTTGCGTAGCAATGACCATAGATGGTAAGATGTTTCAAGTCGATATTTCTTTGTTCCAGTAAAGAAAGAAAAAAATGTAATTTTCCAGCATTTTTCCTGATGAAGGATTGTGTGGTACAGTTGTCAAAGATGACAGGTATTCTTCAAAGAATTTGCCATGAAATATGTGGATATATTAGAAATACTTTCTTTACACTTTCCCTTGAAATTATTACAGTATTCTGATATAATTATGCTATTCTGAGTAGTATAAGTATTTTGTATTTTTGTAACATTGAATGGATTATGATGTTTAAATGGGTTTTTGTAAGCAACTACCAGCTACACATCATGGTCAAGTAATATGTGTACTGGTGTTGTAATAATGGCTATTAAGTATAGCATCTCCTGCTAAGATATACTTGAATGTTGAGAAATACTGTTATATATTGACCTGTTAAACTGCTCTTTAATAGCTCCTGTAATCTTTTTAGTGTGCATTGTAACTGTGAAGTTTAAAAAGAGTTGTATAACTATTGGAAAAGTCAGAATTGCTATTTTATTTTAAAATTCATGTAAGAATTTTACTTAATGTTTTGGACTATTAAAAACCATATGTTTGTGAGCGAAAATAACAGCTTTAATACTAATTTATAATAATTTTAACAGTTTAGGCATAAATACAAAACTGATTGGTTTTTTTTTTGTTTTTTTTTTTTTTTTATGTTCAAGGATTGTAGAAAAAAAATCAGTGTGATTTTAGCATTTCAGTGAGTTTCATAGAATATTTCCTTTTGAGCTAAGGCTACTTGTCCAAAATAGTATTTAGGAAATGGAAATAGGTGATGCATCTTGAGTGTAGAGGCTGTGGCTTGTGTATTTGTTATGTTTGGTATTGTGAAGCCATTTTCTCCTAGGATTGTTCTCCATGGGAGAATTCACTTTTGTTTTAGGGACAAATGACTAGGAGTTTGCTTGGTGACTATTTGTGACTTGAATCACAGAATGTGAAAAGCTGAGATGTAGTGTTAAAAAGAAAAAAAAATAAAGTAAGCATCACTTAATTTTTAGTAAGAGAAGAGTAAGATTTCAGGATGTTATGGTTGCTAAAAGCTTACATGGATTAAAAGAGGTGACTGGATGAGTAACTTGGAGAAAAGCCCCTAGGGTACATAAAGTAGAAGGATAACACCTCTGTCTGGAGAAACCTTCAATCTGCAAATTGCTGCAGGCTGGAATGGTATTCTGGGAAAGTATTGCTTTGCTTATACTGTTTGTCTGCTTACTCACTGTCCAAGATTATGGTGCCTAGATTAGCAGTTGATTTAAATCTGTCATATGATTGTCTTCTAACACTGAATGTGCATGTGTGCCTACGTGGTTGAATAATTCCTTCTGTTTTGCTGTATTAATTTGTTTCTCCAAATTGACTGTGCTATTCGTGATCAAAGATAAATGTTATGTAATTTAAAAAAAAATAAAATCTGCAAATGAATTTGAGGAATAATTAGTTAAAATTGTGGCTTCAAATTTTGTATTTTACAGCTCTACTCTCTTGTTGATGATTAGGATTTTTAGATTTGAAAGGTGTAAATTTTACTAGCATCTACAACTTGAGTTCATATCAGTGTTTAGGTTTTTTCTCTGATAATGGTAATATTAAATTTCTTCAATTTTAAAACAAGAACAAAAATTGCTGTTGGGAATAAACTAATTCTGTGTAAATCCTTCACTCCTTTGTAAAAGTCATAGATAACTTACAGATATTTTTTCTTAGAAAGTGAAATAATAATAGCAGAGAGTCAGAAGTGCATGTTCAATGAGAAGGTTGAACTTCATACAGAAGTTACTATTTTGTATATCGATTCTAATTGCTGCATATGTAACATGCTTGACGTAAAACCTCAAAAACCTAGGAAATGAAAACTGAGAGTATTAAATGTTCATTACTTCTTGCTTTAACCTATATTTTTACTTCACTACTGGCCCAGCTATGGAATGTCACCATGTTTCTTAATCAGCTGCATCAAGATTGCAGTCTGCCATCAATTTGTTCTCAGAGTTGAGTAAGATTGCCAGAACTGTACAGAGTCCAGTGATGGGGCTGTGGAGCAGGTTAGAGTTAAGGACATGTTTAAAGGCTGTCTTCGCAATAAAGAAACTTGCCTGAATTGATTTTGTAACAGTTTTGATTTTATTTCTTGTTTTTCTGTCTGTTTGCACACCAGCTAATGTCTTCCCTGGAGGTACTAATAATTGCTGTTATAATGAAGTCTAATCTTTTTCTCTTCAGTTTTGTAGCTTTGATCTTTGTTATATTGACTCTCATATGCTGTATTACCTGAAATTAGAATTGCACTTTGTGGGTGAATCTGAAATACAACAAAAACTACATATATGGCTTTCTGAATGACTTTTAATATACAGATTTTATGGGCAATAATGTAAGGAAACAGCTGAAATCCCGTGAAATCAGTAGGTTTCTTCTGTGGTGTATTTCTTATGCCGTATATAATTATGGTTACAAATACTTTGAAGTGATACAATAGTTTTAGTTTCTATACTTTTCAGAGAAATGGTAAATTTATGCATGTAAATTAAATTGTAAAATAATTTTTCATGCTATTTAGTATTACTTTGTAAGTAATTAAAAAGCACATGTAGACCCAGTGGAACTTAGTGGCTTCCAGCTGTCAACTCATCAGAGATTTTTGTCTGCAGCTATTATTTCTACTGTGTATGCGGTTTCAATCCGTGTTAGATTTGATGTGTTAAGTGTTAAGCAGATATGTTCTCGGCTCTGAACATCTATTAGAACTTGTTCTAAATCTTACTAAGGTCAAGAGAATTTTTTTATGGTATCTTCAGCTGTCTTCTTACATGCTTACAGATTTGTATTAATATACAGTCTTTTTAAGAGCTGGATCAGGTGTGTATCTTTATAAAACAGTCTCAGTCAAAATTGCATTGCTTTATAAATATATTTATATATTTATTGTTTATCTTTTTCAGGGTATCAAGGAATGGAATATTGCTCATCTTAACACAATATTGGATGTTGTAGAAGAAGACTGTGGAATTTCTATTGAGGGTGTAAATACACCCTATCTGTATTTTGGCATGTGGAAAACAACATTTGCATGGCACACAGAAGACATGGACCTCTACAGTATTAATTATCTCCATTTTGGGGAGCCAAAGTCATGGCAAGTATAAATTTTTATGAAAGATAATTTCATTTATCTGTTTGTTTCATCTGACTAAATGTGGTACAATTGCTCCACAACAGTAAGCTTTACTGAACAACTAAGTAGTTTTTTTCTTTTTTTAAGTTGATAAGGCTATGAAATATGTGAGATTTGTGACATAAAGAACATTGCGGTAATGCATTCTTTCATTTTAAAGGAAAAGACTAAAAAGTACATAACACTTATTTGAATTCAACAGAATAAGATTGTAAGGATTCATTATGAGAAGTTTAATGACTTGGGAACCCAAAAATTATTGAAGGAACTTCCATAAGGCTTCTTTGAAATCAATTTGTTTGGTTCAGTTGTCCTTTGGGACTGCCTAACATGCACTTAATTATTGTATTAAACATTCAGTTAATTGCTTTTTTGAATCAGAGCCATATTCTCTAGCATTAACTCAGAGCACCCAGTTGGAGATAAGATTGTATTAAAGGTGCTTCCTAAACATGTAGCTTCTGCTATCCTTTCTCTAATGTTAGATTTTTGATCGAACACCTCTTAATAGAGAGACAAGGAGGTTTAATGTTATACACATAGATGTGATATACATGTATCTTAAAGTATATGAGAAAAACGTTTTTTTTTTGATCATAAAATCTTACTTTTTAAAAAATACCTGTGAAGAGAACATAAAATCATTAGAAAGACATGTAAAAGATATTATATGCATAGCTTGGTTCTGGCAGTTTCTAGTCATCCAGACTTACATGGAACATTTTGTAGCTGGTAATTCCATAAAACATAAATGGTATTTTTTATATCCATACAAAAGACAAAGACCTATGCAACATCATGTATTTAAATTGAGAAGGTGGTAAATTGGTCAGCTACTGGTTCTTAGGTAATTTCTTTGTTTACCTGCTTTTCTTGTATAGCGATTGCCTACATTTAGGCAGAGAAGGTACACCTATTGTAGTAATACAAATCTATGGTTTGATTAGTTTTATATATATATTTTTTAAAGTGCTGCTTTAATAGAATTAGATGTACTAAGAAACTCTTCTCAGCCATAAGAATGGAATCTTTATTGGTTGTAAAGATAGGTAATTCCAAAAGGTTATAAGATGATAAAAATTTAACTAAAACAACAATTACATAAAAATGATTTTGTTTTCTTTTTAAAATTTTAAAAGTGCTATTTATAGAAAACCTTATTCGATATTGTAAAATTCCAGGTAGTAGAGACATCACTTAAACCCTGAAGATCTTAGGCACAATGGGTAAAAGAAAACTAAGTATTTTGAAGGAGGTGTGAGTTGATAATATGATAAATGCTTTTCTAGTTTACGGATACTTGTTTACACTTCTGAATGAAAAAAAAAATCATTAAACACTGACCTCTTCAGCTTTTGTAGAAATAGCAGTGGATATGACTTTATTTTCTGGACCCCACTGGCCTATTTGTTTAGAAATGCAGCCCTAAAAGAAGTTGAATTCAAGACAGTGAAAGATCTATTTGTTGTTAGACGTGTGTTTTTACTGGAGAAAGGCTGCAGTAATTTATGCTAATGCTGTTTCTATATCAGTAAAATGTATTTTGTGTTAATGTGATATTAGTATAATATTTTCTTCAAAAAAGTGGAGAATGAGTGGAATCTTAGGATACAGATAGTAAAGATCTTGTCTGCCCTTGAAAAATTTAAACTGAGTTTACAAGTGCTTCGTTAGCGAAACCAAATATCCTGGCATGTAACACATATTTTTTAGTTTTACTGGATATATAACCCACATTGCTTTTATGGAAACTGAAAAATATTATATGAAGAAGCATGATACATAATGTGTTTTCTCTGAAAGAGAAGACAGATATTTACATCTGATTGCTGTGATTAGAACTTGTAGGCAGCAGCTCTACCCAGCTGCTGTGGCAATCTTTATGAAACTGAAGCATTCTCCTGTATTTTGGCATAGGTTAACTTTCATTTCTTACACTCTATGCAGTTTCACTTTTGAGAGGTACACAAAGAAGTTTACGTATAGTTTTATATTATGTATACAGATACCTCCATTACTGCCTGGTATGAAACACAGGGAAAAAGTGTGTGTGATAACCATTTGAAAAATCAGGACTATGGCTTTTTGTGTATTTATGTATGTATGTATTTGTGTAATACATACATTTACTTTATAGATTTTTGTTAATAGTACAAGTGTTAGAATATTAGTAAAAAAATGAGTAAAGATATGTGGAGAATATATTTAATATTTTAATTTAGAAAGTTATTTTTTTTTTATTTTAAATTGTGGTCATTTTGTTCACCTTTTATATCTGGTGGTGGAGGTCTGAATTTTCCATAAAGAATCAGCTTTTACTTCCATTGAAAGGGGCACATTGTAAACTTCCAGTATAACACAAGCATAACTTAAGTATCAATTTTTGTGATGTTTTCCGTGACATACCATCTGGTTTTCTTAGCTCTTCTGAAAACTGGAAATGACAAGGAACAATGCATTATGTAAAAAACCCCTCCTGCTTAGTAATGCATTTAAAATCACAAAATGCCTTGCAGGGTTGTTCACTTAAAAAAATAAAAGGAATATATACTGCAGAAAGAGAAGATAGTTCCATTATTGTGACAATATCAAGAAGTAAAAAGCAGGTTGTTGAAGAGGGAAAGCTTAGACAGCCAAAATCAGATGGATTAAGAGAGTGAGGCTGGACCCATCAGTTTATTTAGGTTGTAAGAGTAGGGAGAAATGGATGTATGGTGAAATTTAAAATCAGGCAGATGATTTAGGTTCAGGAATTCTTTTCAGAAGTTCAGTGGTTGCAGGATGATCAGAAATCAGATCTTGCCTGAAATTACTGCCCTGGACAGCTTCAGTGTTCCGTCTTGCTTGGTATGGGTATAAGCTGTTTTTATGGATTTGCCAATGTAGAATGTGTACTGATACCTGTTCATCTTCCTTTATGAAGTGGAAAAATGAGGAAAGATAGATAGTTATATGGTAGGAGCTGTGGAATTCTTTAAAACGTGATCTCATGTGAAGGTCTTCAGATTTTGATTGCCAGTAACACAGGAAGTAGTAATGAGATTATGAGTGTGGGACAGAAATGGACAAAATCATGTAGACAAAAAGGTGAAGAAAGGAAGGCATACTCAGACTGATGCTAATGTTGTATGATTTAAGAACTACTACTGTGATAAAGTAAGTGGGTTCAAAGAGACTCACCTAGATCCTGACAGGGTCTTCTGGGGCAGCATTAATAGGACAACAGCTGACAAAGACTGGACAAAAACTGTCTGGGTGATGCAGAGTTCAGTATGAATAGAAGAGTCTTGTTACCTTTGCACAAGTTATGTGTACCACTGACATTTTCCTAGTTTTGTTCTGTGTCTAAGATAAATAACATATATAGAAAATTACAGTAAAGTGCAATCTTTGAGTGTGAAAAATGGGAGTAATGTATAAAACTTCTGTGATAGCTGGGGAGACAGTTATGCTCAACTTAGAAGAGGATTAGCTGCACTTACTGCTGAAAATGATCAGGAAACTTAGAAATAAGACTATCAGGAGTCACAGAGATTACTATAATCAAGTAGGGATTCTGTTTGTAAAAATGTACCTATAATTAAACAGTACAGCGGTTTGACAGCAATCTGAAAGGGCTGTCACTGTGCTTGAAACCAAGCCATCATGTGGTAGTTAGAATATTCTCCATAAGGTAAGAGAACTTTGCTGGAAGTGGTGGTGTGGGGTTTGTTTTTTTTTTTTTTTTTGTCGTATTCACTCCCACCCTGTAGAAGAGGATTTTGTTCCTTGAAATATTAAGTAAGGAAACTTTTTAGGAGGTGATGGACCTTGAAATTTCCCTTGTCAAAACACTGTTTTTAACTTCCTAGATTAAGTTTGAGACTTCTATTTGTTCATATTTTAAACATCTATTTGTAATGTTTATATATATTAAATATTACCCACCTAAATATATAGTAGAGCAAATTAGTGTTGCTTATAGAAAGCGGCATGGGATTCTCAGCCCAGTGTCTGGAATTAAATAGCATTATTTTGTTTTAAGTTGGAGGTCGCATATTGCCTGTTATCAACTGTGAAAACAATGAATTGGGTTCATTGTGAAAAAAAAAATGATGTTGTTAGTTTGTTTTTAACAACATTTTATGAGTTTGCAGCTTTGGAATTTTTAGAGTACTGATTAGCAGGAAAAATGATCAGCTGTTATTCCCATATGAAGATGTGACATAGGCTTCAGAAAAGTAGTTTGGTTAAGTATTTAGGATTACGCTTAAATTGGCTTGCAGCTGTTGGTGTTAGCCAAATGATCTGTGCATGTACCTGGCTTAGGAAGAATGGAGCTCAATGTTTCATGTTCTGTTTCTTGTCACTATGATGAGAATAACTGGGTGAATACAAGAGGCTGCTTGTGTGATGACCATCTTGCTCAAATGGGTATGTTTTGCACAGTAAAGCAACGATTCTTTGTTTTTGATGTCTTTTCATGTTCATGCTTTGAATAATACTGTTTTAAAAGTTGCCCCATTTGTAAAACATACCACTTAACTGAGCCCCTGACAAGGATCACGAATTTTCCTTTCATCTACAGTCATCAGGATGCTATGCATGTGTTAAAATTAAATGGATTCAAATTCAGTTTTGAATTTATCCACTTCCTACTTTTACAAAATACGGCAGTATTGAATAACTAATTACTCTGTTGCACAAAAACCAGTACAAGTGACACAGCAATCCAACCCAATTCTTTTGTTTGGAAGGTGCAATTTATAAAATCAAATGCAGCATTGAAGAGTCAAGTCTGATGTCACCAGGAAGGCAGAAAAGATAATACCGAATAATGTTTTTAAATACATGGAATTTTCTGTGTTGGACTTTAGATTCATTTTATTGATGATGTTAAGTCTCAGTCAAGATGGACTTCTATTCTGCAAGATCTTTGGCTATGAGATAAAATGAATTTAGGTTTTTTTCATAGTGTGAAAAAAA